ACCACACTATTTCAAAATATAACTAGAAATACCATAAATATATTTGGAGGTTTCCATGTTTTATAACATTTTCAAATGGGGGAAGGGCTACTTTTAAAAATTCCAACAAATCGATAACAGATTATAATTCTGTAAATTTTCATAATTAAAACACTAGTTTAGCAAACATTTTTGGTATTGTATGATTCAAGCTTGAGTTTTGAAAGTTACACTAAAACATAAATTTGTAATTAAGGGGATTCCTTAGTTTTATTTATCAAATTAATCTTTTTTACATTTATTTTAAAACTAACTGGCCGTAATGGAAAGTTTTTCATCAAGTAAATTATGTAGCATACTACAATCAATAAAATTATGTTAAAGAAATAATTTAAAAGGAAATTTTTAAGAAGTATCAAAACAATATTAAAAAGGGCTGATTTATTATTTACATAGTTTGACATACATGTAAAAACTACCTTCATTTGTGAAATATTATTATTTTCTTCTTTTTTAAATCGGTCCTTAACAACACAGATAAAAAAAACTAATTTAAATTTACAATTTTTCAATGGTGCAGTACGTAATAAATTGTGTAATTTATCTGTTCCAATTTATCCGTGTAATTTATCAAGTCCAAGGCTTTGGACCTGTAAACCCTTTAGTACAAGATTAGGCCTCTAACGTAGGGTGAACTTTGTCCTCTTTATCTGGAGAGCATTGAATCAACCTGTTCCTGCTAGGTTATAGCCTGCAACGATAACACGAGAAACATCAGTATAGTACCGTTGTGCAGTGGAACACTAAGGACTAGATCTGTCTTTACAAGCAAATCTACAAGTATTGTGTTAAGTACAACATTTTTATTCAGGTTCATATAATGTTTTTTAAGAAAGCAGGGTATTATCCTCCCTTGATGAGGAACCCCACACTTTGCATGAAGTGTATAAAAACCGATGGTTCTGATAAAGCTACATGTGTTAATTGTAATTATTTATTCCATGTTAAATGTCTTGATCTTGAACCTTGTTTATCAGTGATCAGCCAAAGTCATAATCCACAAGATGTAGTGTCCTGTAATTGGGTTTGCAAACAATGTACTAATACCAACGAAATGACGGTTTCATTTGCATATTTCTTGAACCACCAGTTGATTCGGAGTGTAGAAAACTCAAAAAATGATATCTGCAATAAGTTAGAAGAGCTCTGTAAAGAAAGTGAAAGACGATAATGGTGGGGGAGAGTCCACATTTGGCAAATAGTGAAGATGTTATGGCATGAATCACAGATTAGGTGAAACTTAAAAGGATTTGTTGATTCATGGAAACTTTGGTTACGATTCAAATATTGGTGGATATAGAATGTTTGCCTTTTATATTGTTAATAATTTTTGTTTAGGATGGTGATGCCCAGCATGTATACACGCATTTAATTGTTCAATGATGTATTGTGATTTGTGAATATTTAGTTGAAAAGAGTAAATTAGAGTGTGGATAAATAATTGTAATCCGTCTTATTTCATTACTTAAACCCTCAATCGACCGTAAATATGGTAAGAGTTTTAATATTAGATTTAATGTATGACCTTGGGTATAAATAGTTTGTTTTGTAAAGGTGCCTTGTCTCAGATATATATTATTAGATTTATATTAATGTTTTTTGGATAACATTGATAAATTAATGATAGTCAGGTTATTCTGATATAAAATACCAGAAATTCCCAGCCATTTTTATTTTACATAAATTAACTACAACAAGCCAGTAAAGCTGGTTAAATTATAAAAATATTAATAAATTAAAAACCTAAAACTCACTTGGCAAATACTGTAATATGTACGCCTAGTTCTTTAGTAATGACCAATACCGATTCTATATCGGTTGATTCATCATATTTAGTAAGATAGTTTTTACCAAATTTTTCGATAGTTAAATCTTTTGATGAAAGTGACGACTTTTGCTTGGGGTTCATTCTATTAGCCATTTTACAGGGTTTGCAAAAGCTAAGTTTTTCTCTGAGTAAGAATATGGGTTAGATTGTCCATTAGATGAGTCTAGTGAATTGAATGAACATTGCTATCACTTTGTAATCAACCATTATTTTTTTGTAACACTATAAGACATTGACTTTGGATGCTAAAAGTAAACTTCTCATCCTATTATAAAATCTGAAGTCTATATTGATGTGCGATTTGTGTTTGTCGACATTTGTGCACATTCAATTTTATTTCTTGTTTGTCTCTTATTTTAAAAATAATTTTACTGTGTACCTACCAATTTAAGATTGAAAAGTTAACATACCTACCTATCAACTGTTCTCTTAATCGCTATCGCCTTACACTAAATATGGAGTTATCCACTATGCTGTTATAAGTATGAAACAATAATTAGGTATGAAAAAAATTCCCTTAATGGAGCAGAAGGATCAGAAGACATTACCGTGTATTTTTAGGTTTTTACATTATACATAATAATCAAAGCAAAATGGAAGGGTCAAAATCTGTTACGTGCCCACAACTCCAAAACTTGATATGAACATTAGTGTACAAAACGTAGTTTTTCAATGGTTTAGTAGAATGGAATCATTTCCAGGTATTTGTGAAGGCAATTTTGTTGTTCTGGGAGAGATCACTGTTCGCTGTAGCGTCGCCAGCAGCGGCCCGCGTTAATGAATCACTGACTTTGTCTAACAATGAGTTAACGATTAGTTTTAGTTCAGTTACTCAAAAAACAAATTTTAAGCTGTTCGAGAAGTTTGGTTGGGTTTGGTTAGGTTAGAACAGTATCATCTAACCTAACCTAACCAACCAAACTTCTTGAACACCTTAAAATTTGCAGTAGTTATTCTAATATTTTTTGTGTGTTTTCTCTAAATTTATATAACATGTGATCAAAAACCTTTTCTAAAGATTGTATTTTTTCATTATTTATTACCTATAAAAGATTTCAAAAAGTTATAGAAGTGTAATTTGAAAATAAAAATAGAGTGGTGAGCACGTAATGGATTTTTATCAATGGAAGATACTGCCATAGGTATAACAGCACGCTTACATTACTGACGAAAATGCACAAATAAACACATAACCATACAATTTTCGGAGCTACTAAATCCTTCTTTAACACGTTCGCTGCTGAAAACCTTTAAACAGGCGCTCGCCAATGGCGGCAAGGCCCGGGCGGAGCCCCGATGCGCTAACTGAATCAGCAATTGCTATTAGTAATGAAATATCTCTGCAAGACGATTCACAAAAGAGCAGTGGTGATTGTTCTGCGTTGCCCCGAAAGTGGACGTAGTTCACTGAAACACCCAAAGGTAGCAGCACTGCCTGGATCAATAACCAGAGTCTTTGTAATATGGCTTGAATAGAGAAAATCTCCGAAAACGGGACAAAACCATTGCTAGACGGGATTTTACGGGCAATTTTAGTACCAACCTACACCAGAATAAAGCTCACATTCTAAGCTACAGGCTGGTAACGATAACAACGTTGCCTGGCAATGGCTGAGCTCACATTGAAGCAAGGTTGTTGGCATTGGAGAAGGACGACATTTCCCGCCCCGCTTCAGTGAAGTTAATACAGCGCGCAGTGAATGTGTTAATTGAACATTTTACAGTACTTAACAAGTTGTGGAAGGAGCTAGTAAATAAGTACACAACTCCTACTGATCACTTGGAGGAAAAACTTCACTGAAAGCTCAAAAAAGCACGTTAATTATTTAACTAACAAAAAAATGAGTTGCGCATAAAAATTAAAGCTGTTGAGACGGTTAGTCACCAACATTATTTTCTAAATCTTGGGATTATTTTTAAAAGTAGAAGACAGCTGGTGCATGGATTTCACAATCCTTATACCTGTGACGGATCATTGGCACATAGTGGACACAATTCTCAAAGACACATAGCCTATTTACTCAATCAAAAGATTGAACTTGGTGGACTCGGTATTTGCAGCTTGGAGACTCTGAGGCTTGAGATGGATAGAAAATGGTTCCAGCTCTTGGTTCCAGACCATCTCTAGGGGAACTACGCCTGTCGCCGGGTTTTTTTTGGTAAGGCAACTTTTTCTTTATTACTTGATAGAATAAAATTTGAGATTGTACAGGTTAATTACTTCTTTTAAAATCTGCGATTGTCTGGTATCCATTTAGATAATTTTATTGTTGTTATTGAAAAATATAATATATTTGGTGAAATGTTTAGTGAGTCGGTGGCTCAGTGGGTAGTGTCGCGGACTTCGGGCCCAAGGCAGTGATGTCGTGGGTTCGGATCCTGGTCACTGCCACTAAAATTTATCAGTACAGTTCACCTTTGTACTGTACCGGCTCACTCCTTGCTTTGCTGTAAACGTTCCACGCACGTGCGCTTAGTCTATGTGGACAAGCAAATGCAAGGTTATAAAAAAAAATGTTAAATAAACTATGAGTAAATAAACTCGCATAGCTTTCACAGTCAACAAAAATACCAAATAAAAATATCAGCATTTTAAAACCACATACCAATCGAAATAGTTTGCGAAATGGATGTCTTAAATTTTTCCATCCATCATTGTATTTCTATGTCAATGGCATTAAAACAATAAGCTACTTGAAAGTAAAACTTATTATTACTAAGCCAAAGATTTAGGTTTAGGCCTATAGTGTGATAAATTGAAGTATACATAATGATAATATACATTCATTGAGTGATAATCATTTAGATTAGATTAATTTAATGTTATTAGTTTACAATTTTTACATATTTAAACTGTTTACCTCTCACACTAATGACACTATATAGTTGTTATTAATTGTAAACGCCCTCCGTTACCAAATATGGACGAGGCATTGTTCATTATCTTCTCAGAACGTATCATTAACAAATTGTTATTGTCGTTAAATTTTTGTCTGAAAAGAGGCTTGTAGCAAACGTTTAACTAGTCAAATTAGATGTTAAATCATCTCACAGAGAGAAATAGTGTTTCTTTTGTTTGGCTGTTCTACCTCTAAAGACAAAGGTATTACAAATAATTCAATCAAACACAATCTATGGCAATTAACAATCTAACTTTATTAAAATCACGTATGAAATCTAAAAAATCCTATTCCCTAAACATGTATAAAACTAAACAGTAATTTTAATCAGGGCAGTTTACAGTTTCAGTAAAAAGTTTGATCTTCCTGTAAAAATAATATAATGAAAACGTAATTTCTGCTTTAAATTCTACAGTATAAAAGTATACAAAATAATCTTAAACACAACAGTCTAATGGACGGATTCGTTACAGAGTATAATCGCAGTCTGTACACTTTACAACACAGGCAGTGTGTATCATAATATTCTACAAGCGTTTTTGAAAACATTCCGTTTCTTACGCCCCTTTAGTTTACTTGACCTAAGAACAATCGTTCCATTTGAGTGATGCTTGTGATTTGGCGATGGAGGACCAAAGGCACCTGAAACACATCAAAATGAACATGAGGTTTTTTAAACAAATTGAAGTACAATAATGATTTATGATACTTAGTCAAACCCCTGTGCTATCATCGAGTTTCACACTGTTACTTGAAAGATGTAGCCTGTGATAATTAAATTTGAAAAACTCTTACTAAAAACGTAATTTTCAACCAATAAGTTGGACAAAACTTTTTTTTTCTTTTCTGGACCCAACCTTTAGCTCCAGCTCAAATACCAATTGTCAGTCATTAAGAAGGGGACGCCACCTAGGTGTGTATTTTAACCAAAATTTAAGTGAAGGATGAGTGTAGAATGGTGATGATCCGTGTAGCGTTGTTACTGACTAAGATCAGCTGTTTCTTTAGCCAGGATCATTTATTTAAAGCCCAATGATCAGGAACACCTGGGTCCGGTTTCAAACTATCAAAAAGCTACTGACTTCTTCAGGATCATGACCTTTTGATTGTTAGGCGAGCACTATAATAGACTCCCTACACTGCAATATCTTCCAAAACTAACACCGAACCAAATACACTGACCTACTTGCAACAACAAAACAGTCAGCACAACAAGTTATCAAACATCCATCAAACTTGCACAAAATTGTCAGACATATCCTCTTTCTTGCATAACCCGCCTGTTAGTACAGTAATAAGGGTAAGTCAAATAATATATAAAAGACAACGCTATAAAAACTTTAGAATAGTAAGATTTTTGGTTAATGGAATTCCTCTTTTTACCTTGCACAGCCCCTTTCACATGGGCCTCTAGCATGTGCGTTTTTGTATCTGAAGAAGGGTGTTTGATTTTTGACAATAGTGTAAAAGACAGAACGTTTAACAGGACGACTGTTTTGAACGGCAGAAAGGTATTATCATCGAAGGTATTATCAAAAGGTTAGATGAGGTTAGATAGGTTAAGTTAGATTAGGTTAGGTTAGCTTAGGTTAGTAAAGTTGTAAACACATGAGTAAAGTATCAAAACAGTTCCAAGGCAAAACTAACCCAGTTCAGTTGTTGAGCATAGATAATGTAATTTATTTCATTGTTAGACTACTACATAGATTTTATTGGAAAAACAAAATATCCCTTATACTGACTGCAAAGTGATTGATTAACGAAGATACTCACTAATGGTGAGAGGGTGGATGCCGTTGTTGCCCAACATGTATTCATCCTCCTGATCCCTTAGCTCTGCCAGACACCGAGCGGCCAGGTGACGGAACACTGCGTTGACATTGATGTCTTCCTTGACTGACGTCCTCAGCAGACGACAGCCTAGAGCACGAGCAAGCAGGTCCGCCTCTTCCCTGGGTTGGAGATTAAACCATTCAAATTGCTTTTATTGTTGATATTAATGTAAATGAGACAAGAGAAACTATGGTTAGGAATACAACCACACTTTTATTGAGTTTTAAATCTAAATAAACAGCCAACTTTTTTACTTTAATGGCTGGAGGTAGTGTTTTATTTGCGTCGGTTATTAATAAAGATCTACAAAGATCTCCTATCACAAAGAAGTAAAATACTTCAAATCCAATACTTGAACTGTGTTTCCTACTTCCCCAATACTATTCTAGTCGCTCCAACCTCGAATTCAGTAATATTAAAATATGCAACGCATAGGTTATGTTGTACCTATTAGCAATGGAAGTAAATATCAATGCTCCTTCAGTACAAAATGTGTTCCGTTATTAATTTTCTGTGGCAAGGGGGTGGCCCCTAAGGAGATTCATTGCCATAGGACGTGTGGGTATAGAGGAAGGTGTATGTGCGTAAAAAAGTGTGCCTTAGTAGTTTATTAGTTCAGGGAAGGTTGAACACATTTGCAAGATCAGGCCGGACATCAGGTTTCATAAGAATTTTAGTTTTTTAGATAACCAAGATTTACAATTGTCAATGATAGTCTTGAGGACATTCTCTAGTTTCCCTTTTTTGCACAGGTTTTAAATCACTTCAATACCAAAATAGTGGTTAGGTTGATCCGGAACGAATAGGTATCAGTTTTCCCCTTGATAATTAAAGCAATATGATAACAAATGTATGAGCTGTTAATGATTATGGTTTGAAAAAGAGGTTAATAATTCTTTTTAGGGGAGGGACTTTGCTATATGTTACGGAAAATTTAAAAAACTTACGGATTGACGACACTCTGGTCCAAGAGGTCTATTTTGTTCTGCACCAGAACAGTTGGTATCTCCCCACACTCATCTTCCACCTGGAGACAATCACTCTACTTAAGAAACATAATACAAAACCTCAAGATACCAGATAAAACATACCTTATGAGAATTCTCATCCTTAAGGATCAGCTGAAAACCATTTTTAGTTCTGTCCAGTGCACTGTAGGGGTTGTGTTTTATTTACAATTTTTTTCTTGTTATTTCAGTCATTTAAAACCTCATTTAACCAAATAAAACAATCCAATCATAAACAATAACCTTTTCATAGTTATTTAACCAAATAGGAAGGCATAAATCTTGAAAATAACTGTAAAATAATAGAAACAAAATGTTGTCGACACTAACAATCAGTGTCACCTCACATTAACTAGACACCAAAAATTAGCTTCAAAATTTACAATAGGATGAGAAGTCTACTTGTGTTGGTTAGTCTATGATAGCACTACAGCTAAAACAAAAGACAAAAGAATGTAGATGTTTATTGAGAAAGAAAATATCAATAGCCATAAAATAGAGTTTTTATTGTCAAAAATTCATAAATAGATTCTTCATCTTTATTTCAATTTTGTATTTAATAATTTTGTAAGCTTCTCAAATTCACTTGTATGTTTAAAAAAAAATGTGTTTCCCTATAGTCATCTGACAAAGTGGCCTTCCTTGCACTGATTATAGCACAGAAAGTTGCTAATTGCTGCAACTACTAACTTTTGCCGCTAACTTTTTTCTCTTTTTTTGCTTTTTTTTCCGCACACCAGTATTCCAAACCAAACAACACAAAACAGTGTGCTTTTATTAGGCATGTAATAAGTTTACGCTTGAAAATAAGTTGGCAACTTTTAAATATATTACGACTACGATCAGCTGGTGCAGCGTTTCTCATTTTGTTCAATGTTTGGATTTAACCTAATCAAAAAAAGTGTTGTACAGTTTTCAAAGGACTAAATATGTATATGCTTACTCTAAAAACAACAAATTAATCCTGCAAAACCAGCTTACTCTTCCTCCAGCTCCAACCTAGTAAAAACCATCTCAGTAAACAATTGACAGCTCATTATGTAGGGAAAAGACAGTTGAAATTCCTGCCTTCCCTTTCACATATAAATCTAACTATAAAGACAAAGGTCTCATGAGTGAAAGTGAAAGTCAGAGTAACTAGTAACAATAAAGCCTGGAGTCTGAGGTACAATTAACAAGTAACACCGTCAGTTGAGGTTCCCACTCCTGTGCATTGCTGCACTTCCACATGTTCACATTAATTAGCAACATTCTCCCACGATCAGTTCTTCCTCTTCCTTCCTTGGTGGCATCGCTCCCTTCGATCGTTTTTAATTTTACCAAGCACCAATGATTGTTTTGTAACAATAAGGATGATAAATTCACTCTACTGATAAATATTTCATTATCTATAATATAATTAATACTAAGTGTACAATGAAGTTTTCTGCTTGCAATATTGAGCGGAGCAAGCATTTAAAAAAATGTAATTTATAAACACAAATTGATTTCTTTTAAACAGTAGTCATTGTACTACTGAATTTGTCACATAATTTGTTACTAAATTATTGTTAAAACAGTATGTGGTATGTTTAATGAAATTTTACATTGGTTCTTCGATCATTTAAAAATACGCCTACTGGTATTATTCCAATTTTTCTTTTCTTTTGTCCCGCTTTTAAATGTGCTTGTATAAACATATTTATGTTACGTCTCTTTTGTTTCCTTTTCATTGTTAGCATTTTGATAAACCAACATAGCGACCAAATCAATACATAAGGACCATGTTAAATTTCTAAAAGTTTGATTTCCTGTTGGACAGAGCCAATCAATACACAAGCTTCAAATACTCACTATTAGGTGTAGCTTATATTTCAAAATTTTGTAAAAACAATCAATATTAGACCCCAAAAAAATTAATTTTTCAGTTTTGATTCACTTTTGTTACACATACACAATTTTTGAGTGGTAGAAACATAAGTAGAATCAAACCCTATTTCGAAATGAAGTTACCAAAAAAAATATTACATGGGGAGCCAAATTGTAACAATTAGGGGTTTTTACACATCTCAAGTACATAGTGGTGGCTTACGTATATAAAAAATATAACTTTAAAAATACCATTAACAGTAAAACCTGAACTCACTGTTGTACTCTATTAACCCATACAAACAGAATCACAGTGAAACAATTGAGAAGGGAAAAAGCAATCTTGAAAATTGAGGGAATCATTCTGCAGGTCAGACGGGGTAATTTGCGAGTGGAAAGGAAAATTGGACCATAATCCCATAATGGCTACCATTCTGTGGTCAAGGCTACACATCTAGCATCTCATAACCTTCAGGGAGGTATTATCATGGAGTGTATATCACCCTTTGGTAAAGTGGTGCAAGTATGAAACTAGAAGTGATTGATCTGTTTATTAGCATTGCAGGCTAACAGTTACTTACTGGCAAACATAAGGAATACTATTCACGGAAGAGAACAGAGCGGAATACAATGTGAAGAAATTAGGCTTTTGAATGGTATTAATTAGGTATAGAATAGCGAGTATACCAGGCGGAACACAGTTACCCACATCGAGATCAGAAGAGTCAGAGTTGAGGAGTTTATTATGTGAACAGAAAAAAACAAGACAACAAGACTTAGATGTTTTTTTTTTTCTTTGAAGAAGAATGCTAGAGAAGAGGATTAATAGCGAAATGTAGTAGATGGGGATATAGGGAAGGAGATTAAAGGAATACCTGTACAAATGTGGTGGGAGGGTATGATTAAAAGATCAAGAGAGGGCAGATGATGAAGGAGGAAACTTTAATGGGACGTGAGAAGATAAGGAGGCTTTTCAAATCAATCCCATTCCCATATTAAAGGTGCAGCCAATTTGAAAATTAAAAAAGTTGAATTGAGCAAACACACAGTACTGATGTTAATTAATGATTTCTGAAGTATACAGACTTTTCAACATCGCCAAACTGAATGAAAAAGTTATTGCAAGCTATTGTATTTTTACGTCATAGCAACAATCACAGCAAAACTACTAAGTGAGAAAATACTAGGATTTTAGACTGTAGAAAACTTTGAGAGTGACTTACTCAGCTACACACTTTTGAATATTTTTAATTCTTTTGCAAACTCTACCTTCATTTTCCACGAGTGAGCAGCATCAAATGAGTCCCTGTCTGTGGTAGAGAACGCCAACACACAGGCCTGAGCGCCACGATAGTAAGCCTTGGTGATGGCATCAAACTCCTCCTGACCTGCAGTGTCCCACAACATCAGTCTCACGTCTTCTCCATCACATCTGTAGAGAACATACAATCATGAGTCCCTGTCTGTGGTAGAGAACGCCAACACACAGGCCTGAGCACCACGATAGTAAGCCTTGGTGATGGCATCAAACTCCTCCTGACCTGCAGTGTCCCACAACATCAGTCTCACGTTTTCTCCATCACATCTGTAGAGAACATACAATCATGAGTCCCTGTCTGTGGTAGAGAACGCCAACACACAGGCCTGAGCGCCACGATAGTAAGCCTTGGTGATGGCATCAAACTCCTCCTGACCTGCAGTGTCCCACAACATCAGTCTCACGTCTTCTCCGTCACATCTGTGGAGAACATACAATCATGAGTCCCTGTCTGTGGTAGAGAACGCCAACACTCAGGCCTGAGCACCACGATAGTAAGCCTTGGTGATGGCATCAAACTCCTCCTGACCTGCAGTGTCCCACAACATCAGTCTCACGTTTTCTCCATCACATCTGTAGAGAACATACAATCATGAGTCCCTGTCTGTGGTAGAGAACGCCAACACACAGGCCTGAGCGCCACGATAGTAAGCCTTGGTGATGGCATCAAACTCCTCCTGACCTGAAGTGTCCCACAACATCAGTCTCACGTCTTCTCCGTCACATCTGTGGAGAACATACAATCATGAGTCCCTGTCTGTAGTAGAGAACGCCAACACACAGGCCTGAGCACCATGATAGTAAGCCTTGGTGATGGCATCAAACTCCTCCTGACCTGCAGTGTCCCACAACATCAGTCTCACGTCTTCTCCATCACATCTGTAGAGAACATACAATCATGAGTCCCTGTCTGTGGTAGAGAACGCCAACACACAGGCCTGAGCACCACGATAGTAAGCCTTGGTGATGGCATCAAACTCCTCCTGACCTGCAGTGTCCCACAACATCAGTCTCACGTCTTCTCCGTCACATCTGTGGAGAACATACAATCATGAGTCCCTGTCTGTGGTAGAGAACGCCAACACACAGGCCTGAGCACCACGATAGTAAGCCTTGGTGATGGCATCAAACTCCTCCTGACCTGCAGTGTCCCACAACATCAGTCTCACGTCTTCTCCATCACATCTGTAGAGAACATACAATCATGAGTCCCTGTCTGTGGTAGAGAACGCCAACACACAGGCCTGAGCACCACGATAGTAAGCCTTGGTGATGGCATCAAACTCCTCCTGACCTGCAGTGTCCCACAACATCAGTCTCACGTCTTCTCCGTCACATCTGTGGAGAACATACAATCATGAGTCCCTGTCTGTGGTAGAGAACGCCAACACACAGGCCTGAGCACCACGATAGTAAGCCTTGGTGATGGCATCAAACTCCTCCTGACCTGCAGTGTCCCACAACATCAGTCTCACGTCTTCTCCGTCACATCTGTGGAGAACATACAATCATGAGTCCCTGTCTGTGGTAGAGAACGCCAACACACAGGCCTGAGCACCACGATAGTAAGCCTTGGTGATGGCATCAAACTCCTCCTGACCTGCAGTGTCCCACAACATCAGTCTCACGTCTTCTCCGTCACATCTGTGGAGAACATACAATCATGAGTCCCTGTGTTCTGATTGCAAGGTGAACACTATATGCATTGACATGTCATGGTTAAACACCTTTTGATGACCTCATTTACAAGTCCTCAAGACATTAACTTCAAAATGGAGCCACTAAGTGATATGAATCCAGGTAAGTTCAACTTAAGAAAAAGTATCACTTGGCTTTACAAATGGTAATAAAACCTTTAGCCTATATTGTAAACATTTTACTTTCAAAAACTCCTCAAAATTTGGGTGTACACATTATCAAATTTAAAAATCATACAGGTTTGGGCCGCTTTCCCAAAATGCTTCTATACCTCCTTAAAAATGCCATTGGCGTAAACAAATACAAAATATGTATGATTTTTATCGCTGGATTCATTATTTAACTTTATGTGAAACTTCAGCCCAGTTGGTTCAACAGAAACTACTATTTCTTTGAAAAATCACAACCAATAATAAGCATAGAACTACGGAGTTAAGTGACAAATGGAAGTACAGTAATGCTAAATATATGTTGGAACTGAAATCTGTATCCCTTATTCCTGTTTGATGAATTTAGTATCTTAGCCTACACCAAACTGTTTACCGAAACATGATTGATTCACAATACACCAATGATGAAGGAAAGTGCGTTCAATCAACTAACAGCATTACACATTCTGTTTGATGAGGCTGGTGTTGAGGTATACAAAGACACCATCATCAGTTATCCCATTGTCACATGTAGGACACTGTGTTCCTCTTTGTTGTTTTCCCTCCATTAGTCCATATTACACCTGACTATCACAGTATACCTCTTCTACATCATTCCTCTTGCGAAGTATAAGATGTAGAACAGTATTTATAAAATTAATAAAACGTATAATCTGCCAATTTCCTATCAACTGGGTAAAATGTACAACTGAAAGGACGTTATTACCAACCGATCTATGAATATTTCTCTGAATATAAATTGTACTCAGACACATGTCTCTCATTATTTAAAGACGTAAAGATATCACTAAACATATTCACTGTAAAGATATCAAAATGTAATCATCCTGAGTTTATTTTTTTTTATAATATTTATTTCAATACGTGAATTTTTAAATGCCCTCCTTCCTTCTATGTGTCATCTGTATGTTTCCTATTCTTGGGTGAGTGTAAGTTAGGTAGGCCATAGCACAACTCAAATCACAAAATGGAAAGAAAATGTTATGAAAAGCGGTAGTTAGGTTACAGTGATTATACCTAATGAAAAGAAGGAAACTGGCTCAATTCTGGGGAATGTTTAGCTTTTTGATGATTTAAAACTTGATCTAGTTTCCCTTTTTTATCAGCCCAAATTATAAACATTACTGAAAGAATGCTACTTACTGCATACAAGTTTTCTCAATACCCTTTATCTTTGCCTACAAAAATACATCTAATGTCATTTAAAATTAAAAGGAAAATCATTTGCAATCTTCGAATTAATTCCTCTCGTACTTATATCCCACTAAAATATTGTGGCTAGTAATTCTTCGTTGTTTTAACAGTTCAGCGAAACAGTCACTTAGGAACTCCATTTTTGGAATGACAGATTGACAAAACCGAGTTAAGAATGTTTTTTTACCCGAGCAGATCATTACAGTGGCAACCTGGTTCCATAAAGTTATTTGAGTTACAGCCCAGATTCCACCTAATGAACTGCTCCGAGATCGACTCATGTGGAGTTCAGGTTTTCAAATCAGGTTTTCCCGCTCGTTCTATTTCTCTGTTTCATTACCGCCACTTTCCTCAGCTGTTCGGTGAATTTAAATGTTTCAATTACCTACTTGTTTCCTTACCGGGCAGATCTTCGCAACGATTGCATGTTGGTACAAATAAGACTCTAATGGTCCAGTTGATTTATTGTTTACCAGGAGTATTTTGAATGACAGCGAAAGATTGAATTTGTGATATAATTACTGTGATCTGCTTGATGTTTGCTTTGGCCTGCTTTGTTTTCTACAGAGATATACCGATATACTGATAATGTAACGTACAAACCAAACACTATACAACTTTCATCAGTCACACAATGCCTATTTACACCCATCTCTTCCTCAGCTCTTGCAAGACACTCAGTGTACATTTTTTACCCAACACACAAGACTCCACATGGTGCATGTCTAACATGATGACGACCGTGAAGTAGGCTGACACAACACCCAATAACCCATATATCAGTGCAACCTACATCCATCTACATATCAGTCACACTATGCACCTAATGCACATACTGTACTTACCATCCTTGTATATTTTACATTGGTACTATCCAAAAAAACTGTTTTGGGCAAAACAACATTGAACAACATAAAATCTTAACTGGTTAAGAGTTCAGGGACTTATTTCCTGTTTGTCTTTGAGTCTGTTGTTTTGATTATGAATAGGTTAAACAACAAAACCTCTTCTGGCAGGAACAATATTTACCCTAATTTGTTTAAAGAAATTTAAATCTGAACTGGCTCATATTTTGTTGCATTTCATTTACACTGTGTTTAGCCTACCTACATTGAGCTTTCCAGATATATGTTTGGTAAAATTTAGCTGAGGTACTGGTTTAATTTATAATGTAGGATAAATTAAATTAATTACATAGTCTCTAGGCAATGTAATGATTTTTTCACAGTTAGGAGACATTTAAATTGTCAAAAGGTGCTAAGAGATACCTCATTAATAAATGCACAGACTATCTTTTGAAGATTTGGAGTTAGTTGAGATAGGGAAAAACCTATTGTGAAAGTAGGTAGTTGGTTTGCCTTTTAACGGAGTTTTTAATTTTTCCTACAGTTACCTAACAATGTACAAGTTCTCTCACTGATTTTAGAAAGCAAAGTGGCCAATTCGCTCATCAGTGCTAAATTAATTACTTTGTCTCACTCACTCCAGATTTGCAACGTGAAGGCACGAAATAGTGAGCGCGTAACATGCAGACAAGGTCTTTATGCGCGCGAAATACGTTGGCAGCACTGGTTGTAAATCAGCTGGTCAGCTGGTTGTACTGTTTATATCATTAAATGTAATATTAAAAGTTCACTTCTGTGTAAAAATATGTCACGTTTATTTACCAATTTATTTGTTTAAATGGTAACTGTAGGAAAAATATTATGTGCAACTCGAGTGCAAAGTGCAATTGCCTCACTCGAGAAATTATTCCTCATTTGCCTACGGCTCGTGAGTAAGTATTTCTCTCGAGTGAGTCAATTTCTCCCTTTGCTCACTAGTTGCACAAATAACTATTTATTTATTTATTTGTTTTTGTAACATTGTAGAGTAGAAAGCAAAGCGTTTGTACTTTCTCAGTTTGTATTTTTGCATAGTTTGCTTTGTATAAACACACGTTACTTTATTTTACTGTGACGATTCAAAGCTAATAAGTAATAAAGACATCTACGACGAATCACAATTTAGCCTAATTTAAAAATGGAAATATTTTCATTTTGTGAGAGAAGA